AAGCTGTCACAACGTTGGTATCTTATCAGAAGGCGACAGGAGCAATGCAGGACGTCCCGTCGACTTGGTGACTGGACGTTACTCGAGCGAACCACTCTTACATACGATTCGACGTCAACCTGAATCGAGTGATTTTATTACATACAGGCATAGGTGGGCATCCTGGATGGTTTTTCCAAGCCAAATGGCGTATGAACCGCTTATGTGGCTTCCAGTGGATGACGATTTTTTCGCGGCTCGGGCTCATCAACCAGCGACTGCTGCTACCCACCGTAAAGATTATTGGATGGTATCTTAGCCCTCAGGACGCGCCCAGACATGAAAAGAACACATCTGCAGAGAATGACGCATCCCCTAGGTCACTATCGGTACCACACGATTCGGATAGCAGGTGCGTTGGCGGAGCACACCAAACACGGCTTAGCAACATACGACCAGTGTGGTGGGGGTGGAAATTTTCACGACCAGAACACCGGTTGGCTGTACAGAACAAACAAGTGAACGGCCAAATTTGGCTCTGTGGTCATCCTATGTGTTTACGCAGAAGCTCTGTACGTTTTGCCCTGACAATACAGTCGTGTCCAGGGTTCTCTGTCTTGCCCTCATCGCGTAGTTTGGCGGGCTCAGTGCAGCGTAACCAATAGACGGACACCCATGATACAAAAATTCCGGCCCATATTACTAGACGGTATCTCAGCCCTCAAACCACAGACCTAAAGAACATTTGTGCTTCTGCATTTCTCTGGTTCTTCCTGATGAATTCCCACTTGTCTGCGTAGACAATCCAGTCTGTTAACTGTCCCTTTTTCATTTTCTACCCAGGATGCGTGTTCTTATTTCCCATACTACCTAAGATCCCAAAACTATTCAAGAACCGTTTCGCCCGATTTTTTTGATCTTATAGCTTTTCATTACAAATCGTTCGAGTGATGTACGTTTGACCTAATGCCTGTCGGTTGGCAAAGAGCCTTTGCATGAACTCTGGAGAACTTAGTTTTGCTGAGGAGACCCGAAATCAGTACCTACTGGCCTTTCAATACGAGTAACTGAAGAATTTCCAAATGCGTCTCTTTGGTGACCTCAAGTTCGATCAGGCGGGTATTTGTATTGCTCTGAGTGATGAGCACGAGGTGAAAGAGGATCCCAAAAGTTAATTAAAGGCGAGCAGTTTACCTTAAGGGAACATTAAGGGTGAACGAGGGAAGGAAGGATACACCAAACATGTTTTTCAGATCACCAGCTGCTTTCCAGAAGCACAGTCTATCGATATGGCTGTCCATAGAACAACTGTGGACAAAAATCAAAGACGTTACGGTTAGTTACAGGTAGCGAGATCGGGTACAAGACTATCAGTCATTACGGATTACCTGAATGGGCTCTGATCACGCGAGTTTGCAAAAATATGAAGTTCGGTGGTTCGAACGAGAATCATAACCTATAGACGTTAAAGAGTTGATAAAACCCGTCGTTCCCGCTTATAGAGTCTGATAGCCCAGGAGGATCATAGACGAACACATAGGACGATGAGTTCATCGATAATCAAAACATCCGCGGCCTCGTCCAACGCCACGCAGTTTCCACTTTCACTCTCTAACTATCAGATACATAAAGTTATTGTTAACTGTAAATGTCCTGGTTGCACGAGGGCTGGGATACTGCTAGGTCGTCCACACCCAGACAGGATGACGATTAGGGTCCTTAACCAAAGCATCTGGCTCAAAAGTCTAACCACAAGGTAGCGGTGTTGGGCTGGAAGTGCACGTACATTACCATTTATTCGGAACACGTCGCCACACATGTCCAACCCCCCAACCTGGATGACGCCATGGTAAGGTCCAGTCTCTTCGTGACGTTTACGGCTAACAATACAATACCAGATACATGTCGTTCAGTACCACCAGAGGGTGTACCGCTTTGAAGCGTCAGAATAACGTGAGCCGTGAAAACACTGGCCAGAAGTGCTTTTGAGGCGCCCAGCGTAACTCAGTGCTTTTGTCCCACGCTATTCGCAGAAAGAGACTAGTGTCATTGAACCGACACTATTCGCTGAAAAATACAACTAGGCCTTCCACGGTTATGCATATGCACGCTCTCAAAAGAACTTGAATATTCATCCGGCTATCTACTTTTCTCACCACATCACAGTGAAAATTTTTCATGTAATATAACGTGTAATTTTAAGTTGCGGCTTCGAAGCATGTCAGAGTGCTACGACGGATCGAACCCAGGTTACCGTTCATATTTGTAGCTCTACATCTGCGATCACCTCAGTTAGATAACATACTGAAGCGTTGAAAGACGATCTAGTGCGAAAACCATGTTGCCCAATCATACGTACTGAAATCGACCGATAGGCGCTGAACACACCAGTTGTATATGTTTTAGACAACAGGTTGACGGGAAAGTTCTGTGAACAAGCTTCCAGAGAGAAAACCAAAAAAATATTGTGTGGGAAAGGTAAATTTAGAGACAACTGACTTAATTTGGCGGCGGAACTAAAGAAGAGATTGAGATATCTAGGCTAAGTCAGCAGCATTTTAGGAGGTTCAAGAATATGGTTTACATGCTCTGCAACACGGTAGTTTACACCGCATTACGTGTGTGCGGACGAGAAGACCTCAGATACAAAATTTCAGCTAGACTTCATAGCGAAAATTTGCAGTGCGTCCGTGATCGAGTAAGATGAACACGTGTCTAATGTCCCATAATCTAAAAACACGTTTACTGGTGTGAAGACCTCTCAAAGCACCCAGCGAACTGGTCGACTGAACAGCCTGATATGTGCAATTCATGTTTGCCCAATCATACGTACTGAAATCGACCGATAGGCGCTGAACACACCAGTTGTATATGTTTTAGACAACAGGTTGACGGGAAAGTTCTGTGAACAAGCTTCCAGAGAGAAAACCAAAAAAATATTGTGTGGGAAAGGTAAATTTAGAGACAACTGACTTAATTTGGCGGCGGAACTAAAGAAGAGATTGAGATATCTAGGCTAAGTCAGCAGCATTTTAGGAGGTTCAAGAATATGGTTTACATGCTCTGCAACACGGTAGTTTACACCGCATTACGTGTGTGCGGACGAGAAGACCTCAGATACAAAATTTCAGCTAGACTTCATAGCGAAAATTTGCAGTGCGTCCGTGATCGAGTAAGATGAACACGTGTCTAATGTCCCATAATCTAAAAACACGTTTACTGGTGTGAAGACCTCTCAAAGCACCCAGCGAACTGGTCGACTGAACAGCCTGATATGTGCCAATTCATGTAGGAATGACCAAACCATTTTCCTTCGTATACCTATGATGGACGGTATATGCGCATTTTCCCGGCGATTAGCATAGGACGCTGGACACCTTCACTCACACTTTGTCTCTTCGAATCGGCCCCACGTTACAGGAAATCTTCAACGATCTGCTGCTCTAAAACGTAAAGAGCGCCTGGTCCCGATGATTTGATTCCGACTCTTTTCAAGAATGGGTGTCATCCGAGTGTGAAAGCACTTTATGGCAGGATGTTAGAGATCCTGGTCAAAGGAAAAACCCCCCAGGGATAGACCAAATCGATCGTATCCCCAGCTTCACATAGGTCGTAAAAACTATTGAGGCAAAGTTAATTCCTTTCGTGACTAAAATGCTTGCATCCATTCTCTTCCGCAAGTTTTCCGACGGGTCTTAGCCGTATTGTTCAAATCTTGACACTTTGCCAGCTGCTACAATATGCTCACACGCATTGTAGACCAACCATTATTAGGTTCTTGATTAGTAGAGTAGCATTTTAACCCTGTGTGATACATGACTTTATGGAATTACCTATTAAAGCCTGCACTAGCACCAAACCTTAGTCAGAATCTCTGGTTGGCTTTCTAACGCCTTAGCTATGTCCAGTGGAGAAAGTTGATGTGGACTTTACGGATATCACATCTTATCTTGGATGGCTTCACGACTGAGGAGGAAAATGGGGCATGCGCTTTGTCCGCTCAAAATACAAGATAGTAATGTAGGATTGACAAAAAGGAAGCATGGACGTTTCCGCCTTGCCGTAAAATGAGCCCCAATTAGAGCTTCAGTGCTGGTCACTGACATCCTCGAACTTGCTTCTGGGCTGCAAACAAAACAATGAGCCTGATTGGGAGAGTACATTTTGTCAGGTCTCCGCAACAGAGTTATGCTGCACTTTGAGATGAGAAAAATTACGTTAGGCTCCCATAGGCATGTTCTTCAGATATTCAAGTGATCACTTAGATCTACGCACCGAACAATGCTGCCTCAAATTAGCCCAGGATGGCCACAGTCAACAGAAGGAATGCCTCCAGTGTTAGGACTGTAATCGAGCATTCCAACCATGCTCTGCATCCGCCTGACTAACAAGTTTCAGATCGGTTCTCTTTTCGCGTGCAATTGTTCCTGGCAACTGTTCAATGGCAAACTCCTCCCAAGAAGAGTTCACTTTTGTTCGGTACCTGAAGGTAGCCTATCCAGAGGGGGTCACGTGTGTAATTGCAGGTTGTTCGGGGATTCGCAGTATCCACATCACCCTCGATTGTATGATTCTCCTCCCTTCTGGAGCAATTATTCCGGTGGACTCACATCGTCAAAGGGGAAACATTGAACTAGGGACGAGTCTGTTACCACTACTCCACTAGCACACATTCGGAGCGACTAAACAGGAGAAAATATTCACGCTTAAGTTATCTGAATAGTGTTTCCCAGCGTCTCGAGCATCCCGCTGAGCGACTGATCCGCCGATCAGGACTTACAATTCAGATAGAGTCCGTTGAAGGATTCTCGATTAGTTGTAGGTGGATGAGAGATTTGGGGTTAGATTCACATCATCCACGTCTGAACAGCCCTCCACTTGTTCTGGCGCAGAAATTCCGGTTTACCCGGTAAACCAGTCAGTGCGCACGCGGGAACATTTTCTGGACACGTCTCACTTTCACTCCAATCTTACCATCGTTGAATCTGATGCGGCTTCAGCACAACCATCTTATTTGGATAAGGTAATGTATTTCTTCTGTGACATGCGCTTAGAAATTACCCAGACAATTATGAGAAAAATACTTTTATAGACAGCTAGATTGCTAACAGCGTGAAGTAAAAAGGAAGCCCGCACGGTTTAAAGTACAAACTGACAAGTATAATTGTCATTAGCCAGGAGAAGAATAAGCGAAAACAAAAGAAAGCTGCAGACAAATGCGGCGAAAGACAGGCATCAAGAGAAAAACAAATAGCGGTTAAAAGTGTCGGGGAATAGAAAAAAAGCATGCTAGAACAGTAAAATAAAGGATGCCAAGCGCCTGTGTGTGCGTGTGTGAAAGAGTGAAAATCCTACTGACCAGCACGCTCACGCATTTTGTCCAAAAGCTGAATTAACTGGCTGTCAAATCGAGGTCGCTTGCCAGGATCGTCTTTCAGACAGAGTTCTATCAGACGCGCGACACGTGCGTCTAGTTGGGGAGGGATTGGGAGACGAAGATTTTCCGTCGCAATCTAAAGCAAAACCAAGAAGGGGCAAGTTAGTGAGTAAGAGATCTGACGATGACGACTTCGGGATAAGCACATTCCATCCTAACGAGCGTATCATCATGCGCATGGGCGAGTTTCTCTCGGTAAAAGATAGGCCAATTGTGAAGCATTTCTACCCAGCAGCTGCACCATTTCGTGAGACGAAATGAAAATCAGATAGCAGATATTCAAAAATGAGAATTCGTGCAGTTCGCTGGCCGAAATTCTTATCGCTATCACAGCGAACACATCGTTGCTGCGTTTTGATGCAGAGTACCGTGGCGTATGAAACAGTGCATTTCGGTCTGCATTGTTCCCATCGCATATTCCAATTAATCGGATCAAAACAGTCAAAATTAGGTTCGTTACAATTGCATAGGAAATAAGGACTGCAACGGAAACACCAGTGTTTCAAGTCCCGTATCCTAAAATTTGGGTGCTCCAGTCAGTACGAATAGTACCAACAAGTTACATGCTAGCTATGCGACAAAACGGGAGAAAAACGGGAAATAACGTAGACAGTAGAGCACCGTAGCCCAAACCTTACACGGATTGTCTCAGCAGTGCATACCACTGCAACGTTACTAGTTACAAACACTTCCCATCAGCCGGAGGTCCTTACTTTGGTCACAAATAAAATGAAGGGGCGAGATGGCTCAAGTGGTTAGAGCGCGAATTTACTGACCTGAAGGTCTGTGGTTCGAGCCCGACCTCCGCCTCTCAACTTCCCCTGTCTAGTCTTGGGCAACTTGGCAGTATCCAAGCCCTCGTGCTTCCTTCGGGTGGCATGGCAGCTAGGCACCGAAAGGGTGTTACAGCTGACTGGTTATCCTTTTTTTTTGGGGGGGGCTGGTCGCAAGCATAGAGGTACTATCGACATGGAAATCGAGGATACGGTGAAAAACAGGGAGTTGATCTTGAGAGTACGAGCTGAAAATGCATGTCAACTATGCATTATGAGTGGGATAGTGAAGGTCAACTAACCAGCTGAAGAACGTTTCCCTCAAAAAGAGCATATTTTGAGCCCTATCCGGTGTTCTTACAGCTACCCCAGACTAATAACAGAACACAGGAATGTTATTACCGTGACTGTCACTCTTAGGAATGTGCTTGCGGCGGTATAGTGTGTATAGGATCAAACTATCCAAAGTAGCGCCATGCCACAAATGTCATTCGATACACTTTTGGTGACAGGAGATCATGCAATGTGTGATATTTTTGAAGTTCTAATGGAGAGCGGCAGTTGAGCAAAGTATCGATTGGTTCACCAATTCTATTCAACCAATCTATTTCCATAAAAGGCAATGTATGGTCACACAGGAAATAGAAAAACATTTGGAAACTCTGGTTATGGCCCAACAGGAACGTAACGAAATTGGATCTGGTACTGAAGAAAACTGTCAAACTCCAAACATGCTGCACTCGTGAACTATATTGTCTTTCTTGCTAATTTAGCTGACGGCTATGCGTAGCATTTAGAAGACTCTGGAGAATTTGTATCGTGCAATGAATTGGACAAATAAGAATCCACCGAGATTTGTAACGATCTCGAGCAATGAATTTTTCGGTCTGACATATCAATTCTTAAGCGACGGTTATTTCCCTTTCCATACAGTTCCAACGGCTGTTCTCTCACATGCACTCCGGAAAGGCAACCGCCAATGGAGCGATCTACGAGAAGGAAGGCCATCATCCGGGAGAGCCCACACTGATGTATCACATCAGTCACGAATTTAGCGTCAGCATTCCCCGCAGAATAGACGCATTTTGGTGTGTTCTCTTCAGAAAGATCACTATAAAATGAATATTCTTTTTCGTCCTGAACGTTTGACCAGGAGCCCATTTTAACGTCTTTGTAAGCTGGGATAAGGACAGACCGTTCACGTGCATACGGTATACAACACGCCACCACCAAACGTAAGCTTTAAACATTCTAATTAGAAAAGAACATCGAAACTGAGGCACTTGGGCTGTGACGAGTTAGTCACAATCCTGTTTATGCATAACATTGATACCACAGGCTCTCTTGTCAGGTAGAACGAACATCCGAAGAGACGCAATACGATACAAAGACGAAAAGTGGGATAGAACAAGAGCGCCAATTGAAAGTAGGATGAGTGATGTGAGGCTATTGAACAGGACGAAAGAACCTTGAACGCGAGAAGTAGTAGCAGAAATAGAAGTAGACTTTATTTAACCGCGAGATAAAAATCCAGCTATCAGGTTCACAGAGGAAACCAAGCACTGGAAATCACAGGATATCGTGGGGAAGGAAGAAAAAGCTGTTGAATTGAGCGAGGGAGATAAACATGCAATGGAAAAATGAACATCCACTAAAACATTTCCCACAATCAGAAGCCATCCTCATGGACAGGTTGTGACAACGTTTCTAGATAACCAAGGTCCAGGGTGAAATCTTTGCTCTTGAGGGAATACCTCCGACAAACAAAACACAAACGAAACGTAAAACAAACGGAACGCGGGCATGAAATAGCATACAGCAGACGGATGGCAACCAGTCACAGATTGAATAGTGGAGCAAAATGGTAAGCCAAAAACTGTCCGTTGTATTCAAACGCCATGTGTCGACAAAGATACGAAAGCAAGTTGTGAACCCTAAACTAAAAGTTTTTACCCTGGCGGGACGCACTACTAATAAGACTGCTGAAAACTCTTTAACAGTCCGCGACTGGTTTCACCCTTCTTGGGGACCATCAGGTGTGCGCAGTCCCCCGGTTTCCGTCAACACTATGTTCTACTTAGCCTCAGCGTTCTTATGACGAAAATGGTTCATAATACTGACCGCAGTTGACGATTATTTTAATCACCGACTGTGTCCATTGTGGCACGATCAGTGATCGTCGAGGGCAAATAAAAGTCCTGAGGTTCTCCCGTGGGAACTTGTAATAGAAAAGTCAATAGAAAGGTCAACCCGACCTCGTGTACAGTCGTTCCGATATGCGCGGTCCAGCAGAAAAGAATCAATTGCACTTCTTGGCTTCATTAGCCAGTAAAACCCATGGAACGGTCTGTTTGTCATGCTACCCCGACGATGAAAAGAGGAGCACACTGGGATCGTTAAAATATCCTTATAAGTAGACGATACTCTTACTGGACAACTAAGTTGCTATGGTCCAATGTTTCTGTGATAGGAATTGCCTACCGAAAAGGAACAAAACTGAGCGACGATCATAAAAGCCGAGAAATGTAACGATCAAACAGGTGAAGAGGAACAGGCACCGGGATTGGTACGAGGCGCTCCAAGACGACTTGACTGTTCGTTACTCAGCCGGATGTAGCTATGTTTTCCAGTATAACAGAGCGACCGCAGTAGCATGCCGAGGAGTAAACACATGTTGTCTTGCTCCAAAGGACAATCGAGATCAGTTGCATTTATTTTTTGACATCAGTTCATTTAGAATTGTGGGACGAACCAGTTTCTCTGGGATACTTCCGACAAAACTCTGCTAAATGTGTTTATCATCACCTAAGGAAAGTTCGGTAATTGCTTATGAGTTTCTAATATTACGGTTTACTGCTATTGCAAATAAAGCTACTGAGCGACCTTGCCTGGGTCCTCTGCTATCAACTTATCGTCATCAACTTAGCATCAAAGCGATACTGTGAACGCAATACGTTCCCACAAATGGTACGAATGTGGTTTGAATAATAAGTTCCAAGCTCAAATCGAGATTGCCAACAAACTTCAAGAAATAGGATACCCAGTGAGTTTGATTAGGCGTCAACTAAGGAAAATATTGGCTCCAGTATCCAGACCCAGTAAGGAACGGATTGGCACAGCAGTCATTCCATCTAAAGCAGGAACATCGGAGGTTATTCGAGGATTGTTGAACTTAGCCAACATTCGAGTAGCTTTTCAGAAGGGAAAAACGCTACGCTCAGTTTTGGTGCAATTGAAAGATCCCCTGCCGGCTGAAAGGACTAGGGACTGTGTGTACAAAATTAACTGCAACGACTGCGCCAAGGTTTATATAGGACAAACTGCCAGGGAATTACACACCAGAATTGGTGAGCATAAAAGAAGGATTAACAAACCACCAAGGAATGCAGAAGAATACCAAACGCTGGTCAAAGACTCAGCGATGGCGGTACATGCCTTAGACAAAGCATCACAGCGTGAATAGAATTGAGGGTGTGGAACTGGCAAGCGTATGGAAAGCGGTCTTAGATAAGCCGAGCTGACACGTGGCGGTGTGGTTGTCAATCCACTTGGGATCATTAGAAAAAACCGGGGGATGGAGGTGGAAGCCCTAACCGACCAAAGGTCACAGCATCCCTCTTACACAACTTTCTTAGCACTAGCTCACCCACACAGACTGACAGAAGGTTCAAACGAAGTTCAAGAGGAACCATCAAATGAACCGAAACAGAAGAACTAGACCCTGGGCTGGACCCAAACACATGTAGGTTTCCCCACCGACCCAAAACTTGTTCAACCACTCTGGCACACTAAAATCCCTCGGGCGACACCCAACAGAGATTAAGCTTGACTTAGCTGATTGGTTCTCCTTCCGCCCTAAATCTCGACCAACCTCGGAACCTAGTCACTTGGCCTGACGAAGCTTTTGTGTCAAAAGCGAAACGTTGCCCAGCAATAGATCTACCGACTGTCACCAAACTTTTTCGAAAAAGTTCCAAGGTCCTTTTCGCCCTATTGGTGAACATGAGTAACTGTAACTTGTGAGACAATGCTCGTGAAATTGGCCGAACAATATAACTCGCTCGAGTTTGTTTGATAGTGGCACAGTTTATCACTGTGGAAATTTGTACGGAAGAAAATATTGATATACAAAGACCCGTGAATGAGCAATAAACAGGTTGCAACCAAACCGATGGCATCATTAATCGGCAGTAGATAAATTTTTAGGATACCGCTTTTAAGACCGGGTGGAACCAGGGGGAAGCAAAACCGCAGGGAGCCACAACCAATCGGATAACGGGCGAACCGAGTGTTAAGCGACTGGAACTCAAAATGGCCGTCTGCCGAGTTGGACAAGTACATCAAGCTAGTCTTCATTTATACAGCATGAGGATGGGGAAGGTTCTCTGCTACATATCACATCAATTGAAAGAAAACAGAGGACTATAGTCATATCCAGTTGTGCGGGAAAGTTTTATCCGGATAAACCAGATGGCACCAGTTTTGGATGAATAAACGGATTCTGTGTTATTTTGAGATGCAATGTGTGTGCAAGGAAAAAGAGGCACTCCTGAAGAGAAACTCCATGGTAGATTTATACGGGCGACGTTTACGAACGATGCATTTCGTCAGTTGGCAATAGCGGGCGTTTTGGCCGCGACGCCATTTCGTAACACCCATGGAATGTTGTCTGTTATTCAAGCACTCAAAAATAAATAAATCATCGACTTTTGAAAACACCGTCCCGATGTTGAAGATCCTAAGCTAGGGAAAGGGCGGTGATAAGTAAAAAACAAATGAGCGGCCGTAACAACACTGCATGCTTCAAACCAGAAGAAAATAGTACGATAATAAAACTGCGCATTCTACCACTAAAAGAGATACAAGAAAGACGGATTGGATGATATTTGCTTACCTGCATTCCCACAACCATTGAATTCATCCCTCCGAAAGGAACCATGCGAGTAACCAGTTCCCAGAGAATCACACCGAAGCTCCACATATCTGACGCCTCAAGATTGATCTCACTGGCCTTTTTCTGAAGTGCTGTGCATAAGGGAAAATAGTGAGATGTTACAACAGGAGAGTAACAAACGTCGTACCTACGCAACTAAGTGCATTGGAGAGTTTTCACTAAGTGGAACAGGCGGTAGTCAACCCCTTCAGAATTCTAACTTTTTATTCGGAACTCCTCTTGGGAACAATAATGGCAGCTTGCTAATTCCATCCAGACAGGAGGATGTTACTAGGATGAGGATATTGTGGGCGTTGCGGCGATTCAGACAGAATGCTACTTTGTGTTTCGGAGGGTTCGCTCAAAGTTCCAAAACGTGTAACTTTGATAGCGGTCGAAGTGTTTCTATTCTCGACGGCTAGTGGCATTCAGTTTTCTTAGAGAACGCTGGCCGTGGGCTCCAACGACAAATGAACATTTGTTTGCAGATCTTTATTTGACACATATCCACACCAATAATCTGGCTTGATCATACTTGAATGTCTGCTTCATCGTGGATTCTTTCTTCACTTTACTAGACGAACCGCCAAGAAGTAAAAGAGAATATCGATAGAGGGATTGGTGTTGATACAACTTGTGCAAATATGTCAACCTTTCGTAGAGGAAGCTACTTACAAGGTTGCTGATAACAGTTCGACAGCCCACGACCGGTTTCGCCTTTCTTGGGGCTCATCAGGTAGGCGCAGTCCCCGAGTTCCCGTCAACCTTATGTCCTATTTGAACCAAAATTGGACTGGTTTCCACAAATACAGTCGGCTGTGTTTTGTGCTCATGAAAAGAGTTCATTGAACGCACAGTGGGAGGCCTGAACGAGGCTGACTTTTTCTTGATGAAACACTACTCATAAGATTGCTGTAGACTTTTTGACAGCATACCACCGGGTAGACTTAGTCCTCTAGTTTCTGTCAACCTTGTTTTACTTGAACCCGAACTGTACACAATTGGCGAACTGCAGTCGTTTACAAATTAATTTGGTTTCAAAGAAAGACACAACAGAATATCAGCAGAGTCTCTTGTTTCTGATGTTCTTCATCCAAAGGCGCCTCAAGTTCTGTCAACCTTGTTTTACTTGAACCCGAACTGTACACAATTGGCGAACTGCAGTCGTTTACAAATTAATTTGGTTTCAAAGAAAGACACAATAGAATATTAGCAGAGTCTCTTGTTTCTGATGTTCTTCATCCAAAGGTCGCCTCAAGTTTAAACTAGAATGTTCTAGATATCGCAGCACTTTGTCCGAGCAGAACATTGCTCATAAGTTTGAAGACTATTTTTATTAAGAACCTGGGGTGGGCTATGAGGTCTAGTACAAAAGATACAGTGAACCGGTCGTGGGATGCCAAAGAGTTTTCATTGACCTTGTGAGTAGTTTCATTTGTGGAAATATACTGCGACTTCTCGAAACATGAGGAGGCCTTTGTGCGACACATTCACTAGAAGGATACCATATACGAAAGATTCGATTGAGTCCCTCGTGAAGACCGAATTGATATGCAAATGAGTGTATTTGTCAACGTATGTCGAATTTTGTTTAATTTACTGTAGCTTCCTTTCATAGCAGAAGTCGGTCATACGTTCTAGGACTTTGGCTTTGAGCATGCATGTAGATTTGTCAATCTATGCTTTATTTTCACGTCCTATGAGTCTTTTAAGTACACCACATACATGGCAGCAACACTCAAGATCCGGTAAACTAGTATATTCAGGTCTTTTCATAAAGCTCAACAGGTCGTAACTTAAATCACGCAACAATCTTGTCTCCTCCCATCGACTACTTGACGGAAATTCCCTCAGTTGGGCCATTTTTGTGGATTGAAAATGGAAGGCATGTGGTCGGCTGCAGATGCCAACCAGTACGGTGGTGACTTGATAGAACGTTCGGACTAATAGTTTCCTAAAAGGAAGTGATTAAACTTTTAGTTAGTCGGGTGATGCGCGATTATTCCAGGCATCAGATGTGACAACTGTTCGTCCTTGAACATTCATTCTCATGACAGTATACTTGCACAACTCCGAGTTCTTGAACAGGGGGTGTACGATTCGCCGTAATGTTACAGCTGAAACAGAGCTGACAGTGGATGTTCTGCCAAGGTCATCAAGTGGGAATGGATTGAATGACGGGCGAGATGGCTCAGTGGTTAGAGCACGAATTTACATACCGGAAGGTCCGTGGTTCGAGCCCGACCTTTGCCTCTCGGATTCCCCTGTCTAGGCTGGGGAAACCTGACAGTATCCAAGCCCTCGTGCTATCTTCTTGTGGCATGACAGTTAGGCACCGAAAGTTTGCTAAAGCTGAACCATTTGCTTCCTGGATTGAAAGAGGCTCGGTGATACCGAAGCACAGAACTGTGCTGTGATCAACGTCAGTTATTCTAAACACCAAGGTAGGACGACCGTCTAAATGGACGAGATGAGTTTGGTGGCCAATGGAGTCAAACGACCCTTTTGCAGTCAGTCTTATCAAGCCACGGTATGCAAAAACACATCACAACGACCAGACATCCCTTCCTACAACAATTGGAAAACTAAGGTCGAATTCAGCTCGCAGTACTGGTAGTTGTCGGTCACCCGCTGGTTTGGAATCGAATGTTCACATAATTCAAGTACCGTTGTTCTACCGGATACATGCTATCGAGCGGCCACCCGGCAGATGGACCTTGGTCCGCTCATGTACATCTGTACAAGTGAAACAAGGAATGAGAGATCACAAACGAAAAAACTGTCACTATAAACCTGCTCGTCATAATTGCCGTGGTCAGCAAGCCGAATAGGAAACTGTCACATAAAGTGTCTCCCTAGTACAAGTTTTCTACAGATAATACGTTGTAACCAATAGACACCAGTCCAAGATTAACAAAGAACTTCATCAAAATTTAAGGCTTTCGAGGGAATATTTTTGCAGGCGGTGAGTCACCTTCTCCGGCACATGGGGCGCAATTTAGTGAACAATCGAAGTAAATACTGGGTGTCTTTATAACTAAGACTATCGACAATTAAACAACAGAAAAGGGTGTGTCAGATTTGATAGGCAGTCGCTCAGGACCGTGGAAAGTCAGATAAATCGAATTTAAGCAGGATAGACACTACAGGTGGATGAATAGATTCCATCAACCGGAAAAAGTCGAGAGTGGATAACCATGGATGTGGTCACATATCTAGTGAACTAACGGCACGGAATGGACGACCGTGTAAGCCGAGTTGACACTGTGTGCCAGTGGTTGTGCCCACTGAACCAGTCGGTTTATAACCTCGGGTTACTCTGCACTAGTTTGACTAAAAAAACACTGCGTCGTCTTCAAATTTTGTTAGGAACTACGGGCTCATCCTAAAAGTCTCTAAACACTACAATAAGCTGTCTAAACTCAACAGGTAGCGATCATGACAACAGAAAAGTTCCCAACCGTGGGTGAAGTTATGAGCTATCTCGGAAGAATGATATCAGAAAAACCCGCTTTATCCTACCACGCCCCCGGGCGTGGAATATTTGTACTTGCTGTGTACATATGGGCGTGAAATGTAACTGTTGAAGTAAATTAGCAGTCGTACGTGTGTGACGAGAGGCCTTTTCCTCCTCGTTCAATATATTATTCCCCAAACAGCTGTCACACTGATATATTACGAACCCGAAAGCCACGCTAGTTAATTAAAAAAAACACCGCTACCCGCATGCAAGCATGGATTTATTTACAGCCAGGCAATCTACTTAGGCTGGTCAATGAAGTGTCATGTACATAACTTGTGCCTCAATCTACAATGCCATTTGGTCTGATACGACAACCGTTCCACTGAATGCCCACACAAAATGACGATGGGAACTCTCAAAGGCATAAGAAGACACCAACAACCGTAGAGGGATCGACTGCCTCTCAGCCGAGTGCGCAAGAGTCGACAAACTGGGAGTCTCGCAAACCACTGGTTCATTAGTCAAGGTATCAAAAGAGATAGCAAGATGATTTTCATATCTTTAACCGTCCAGCTGTAGCACCCTTTCAATGCCTAACTGCCATTCCACCCGAAGGTTGCACGAGGGCTGGGATACTGTCAGGTTGCCCAAGCCTAGACAGAGGAAGTCGAGAGGCAGATGTCGGGTTCGAACCACGGAACTTTCGGTCAGTTAATTAGCGATCTAACCACTTGGGCCGTCTCGCCCCTTCATACCTGTGTAACGGTGATACTACTGATCGGGAGGCACGCGAGTAGTATGTGTTGTTCGTGGAATTTCGCTTTGCGTCGATTGAAAAAGGGAATTCCGTTGCGGAATTCGCGGGGCCACTTTGTAACATTTGCTTGGATTTGACCGACGAATGATTGGAGGCAATGAATCTCCAGGAAGACTCGTTCGGGAGAAGATCTGTGTCCAGTTTTTGTAACTAAGATGCAGACTAGAGTTTTGCTTCCCTGTTCAATGGTCTGTAACCGGTCAGTTGGCATTTCCAAATAAATAACTCCGTAGAGAAGGCCTTCTTCCTTTCACCTGTAGTAGCTCAACGTTCCAGTGACGGATGATGGCGCTTTCAAATAACGAATGATTAAGGTTTACGAACCGCGTTTTAAGATTTTCTATCGCACAACCGAATACAATTTTGTTATCATCTATTGCAAAGTGATGAGTGCTAATGTCCGTTTGTTATTTAGGCACAGAAGTCAAACAATACAAATTTAAAACCTACGATAATCGCAGTTTCAAATCGCTATCTAATCTTGATGACTTGTTGAGCAATATTTAATGTAGTCCACCATATAGGTGATTCAGAGGTAAGTGGTGAAGTTGCACTCGGTTTAAACCTGTGTCGCAAACGTTCTGTGATGTCATGCGAGGCAACCTAAAGGGTCGCAGCAGCTAAGATGGCTTTGTTGAGTTTGGCATCTGTGAATTTACTTGCTACTGTGCTGACATTTTGCACTGGATGGCCTATTGAAAACAATAGTGTAATCATTGCAGATCAATAGCGTAAAATCAATGCCGTGCTTTGAGCCGCACAAATACAAACCAAAATTCATTCACGGCCTTACATTTGACGACATTCGTGTT